GAACAGAGTAAGTCAGAAGACAGATACATCCACACATTGCTTTGTCACTAATACTGAAGCAAAGCTGTTGCTAAACCTATGTTATGTGATTGTAAAACCTGTGTGGATTTGGAATCTGTCCCATCACTTGGCCAGTGGAGCTCATTCTGTTAGGGATGGATTGGAGGAGTTCATAATCCACCTCCATCTGTGAGGTGGACTATTAAAAAATTAAAGCAACTTCACCCCCACAGGCTTGGGAAAGTAAAACCAGGCACAGTGGAGGGATTTGGGGTGAAAATAAGACCCTTCTCCACTTCCATTACAAAAGCTACTTAGCAGTGGCTCTTCCCATCCCACTTGCCCGTGATCATTAGTTTGAATTCTTACGTGACCAAAGAACCCCATAAAACATTAGTCAAACTAAATATATGGATGAATAATACTTAGCAAGGGTGTGGCACTTTTCAGTAATAGATCTCAGTGTGGAAAGAGCCTGGGAAAATGCCATTTTACAGTGAAGGGTAGATCCAGGAATAGCAATAGCCAAAAAATGGATCTTTCTTCTATTGCTAGAAATCATTACATCAAAAATAATAATACCTTGGAGCCTTGAATTTCAGATCCCTTGTGTGTTTGTCACCCCCAAAAACAAGGTCTAATTGAGATTGGGCATGGAAGGTTCTCTTCTCTTCCTCCCCTCCATGGAGTAGCCAGAAACCTAAATTTTAGAGAAATAAACTTCTTTTTTTAATACAAACAATTTATTTAGTGATCTGTACATGTGATGAAGTCTGGCCTCATCCAGGCCTTCCGAAAAAAACCCAAAAATCAAGTAAAAATGTATAAATACATATATATTTCTTACAAAAAAGAGACATTTACAAAATATACATACTGCATTTCTCCTACAGTTTTTAATGTGCACATCAAAGGACAAAACAAGCCCTCTGAGTTTGGGACCAGATGTCCTGAAGGATTTGACTGAGGGGATATTTCCTTCTCCCCCTCCTCAAGCTACTGTATATGCCCATTAGGCAGTAACAGTCTGTTCTCACCCTGAACAGTTTTAAAAGTTTCATTCAAAATCTCTGCTCTTCATTATGAGCAGTGATTACAGACTTAGGGAAAAAAGTTAGGGGGCAGGGCTTGTTAAAAAATCCATAATTCCCTGATTAGTCTTTAGGCAAAAATAAAAGTCAAACCCTTTAGATCATAAAGCTAAAAAGTAGTATTTAAAATATGAAAGTCAATCTATAAATTTAACACATAAATGTAACATGACTGAAGACTCTGAAAGAATAAGTCACTAGTCATATATCAAAAGGAATATGAAAGACTGTGAAGTTTAATTTCTTTTTAATCAGTTTCCCTTCTCTGGCAAAAGTTTCAAGATATGATCACTGGGAACTTAAGTCTTTGTACTTCTATTTAGAAAGTACAAGATTTCTCACACCTTTTTTAAAAGGTGAGCAGTTCCATCTTTAAAAAACCCCAACAACATTGCACTATTGTTACAATGTAGTTTAGGGAATTAGATGACAAGGCAAATTTGCACTTCACGGTCTAAAAACTATCCCACCTGTCCCCCAAATCCAGTCACTTTGCTCTCTTTCACTGTACCCTAGAACAATCCAAACAAAATAGCAAACAAATAAGGCTTATGGGAAGGAAGAGAAAAATTGTATATACTTATCTTACATATCTTAATGCATCCTGTTTTGTCAGGTGTTCTGAATTAAAACTTGTTTAACCAAAAGTCTGGCATTTCTTTTGGCTAGAACAGAAACCCCTACTGCACAGTGTATGAAAGCAATCTGCCTTCTCCTTTTTCATAAGAATGTTTATAGGTATATGCTAATCACAGGCAAGGTTGAATTTTAACTACTCCTTTTTGTTAGCTTGCCCATAAAAAACGGTCTCATGCTTATGCCTTTCCACAGAGAAAACACTTTTGTTTCCTCTTTGTCTCCTATAACAAAGGAAGGGGTGGGGGGGACGTTTTGCTGAAAAGCAACAAGTTCTGTCTTTTAGAGTATTAAATAGCAGCTCCCTCCTCAAAACAGCAAGGCTACCCCTACTCCAGTTAGGTTCGTCTTGATAAGCCATCATGAGCTATAAAAGCAACCCATATTCTGTCCAATAGAAAGGGGAGTGCAAGGGCTTCTGGTTATAATTGGCAGCTTCTTTTAAAATACTCACATGCTTTCTCTGGGTTGGAATGACAAGACAATGAAATAGGACTCAGGAAATTAAGCCAAGGTTGGTTGCAGCATAACCGAGGTCAACTATGGATTTGACCATTTCTTGACTCCAGTTTCCTGGCCCACACTGTCTACCGGCACTAACACAGCAGATCCAGCTTAACCTGTTGCCCAGACACTACAGGAGTGGTTTTTAAAAAGGGACTTTTTGCAGGGAAAGGACTCCCCATCCGCAGTCTAAGAAGGGTGCTTACTCTGTGCTTTTCAACTGGGTTGGCAAGCCAGCCAGCAAGTCATTGTCTGAGGATTTTGCCTTTGGGGCCGGCAGAGTAGCAGAATCCACCCCCCCCCCAAAAGGAGCCCACTCACCACCCTTTGAGAGTCCCTCTGGGGCCTGCGTGGCTCTCCCGGGCACACACTCCAAGAGCCGCAGCAGCCTTCAGGGGAGAGCAGCGAGGGGCTGGCTCATCATACCGCGGTCTCCCCTTTGCTGCCGCTGCTGAGTCTGTGGTAGAAGCGCCGCCAGGACTGGAGGGTCTTGCCGGACCAGATCCAGAAGCCGGTGGTGATGCCCACGATCATGGTCATGAGGTATTTGATCATGAAGACGGTGAAGTCCGGGCTCATGGGGGCGAAGTGGGCGGGGCAGGGCACGGCGTAGCTCTTGCAGGTCTGCAGCAGCCAGGTCTTCTCCCAGGTGGCCCGGAAGGCCTGCTCGTAGAAGTAGCAGGCCAGCACGATGGTGGCGGGCACGGTGTAGAGCACGCTGAGCCCACGATCATGGTCATGAGGTATTTGATCATGAAGACGGTGAAGTCCGGGCTCATGGGGGCGAAGTGGGCGGGGCAGGGCACGGCGTAGCTCTTGCAGGTCTGCAGCAGCCAGGTCTTCTCCCAGGTGGCCCGGAAGGCCTGCTCGTAGAAGTAGCAGGCCAGCACGATGGTGGCGGGCACGGTGTAGAGCACGCTGAAGACGCCGATGCGCACCATGAGCCGCTCCAGCTTCTCGGTCTTGGTGCCGCCGTGCTTCATGATGGTGCGGATGCGGAAGA